AACGCTGCATGTTTAGACCTGAAATGAGAGGAAACTTTCTATAGTTTCTACAATTCCTATTCGCAGTCTTAAAACATGAACCCACAGAGCAAGTACCGAGCAGAACAGAGCATTTCGTCGAACAATGAATATACCTGCAGCCGGAGCAGCTCGCCAAAGGTCGTTAGGGTCACCGCGTCTTTCAACGCCACCGGAACTCGACGCGCTAGGTTTGCGAACACCGTAATTTTGGTTCCACGGAAATGCCGTTGAACAAGTTTTCGATCGTCTCCATTCAGGTTCCCAAACACCAGCACTCGCACTCGCACTTGCACTTGGCTTCGATCGTCTCCATTCAGGTTCCCAAACACCAGCACTCGCACTCGCACTTGCACTTGGCTTCGAGCGCCTCCATTCTGGTTGGAGAGGAATTTCCTCCTCGCCGCCAGTGTTGGAAGGTTTGGAAGGAGGAGCGCTTGGCCTCCGACGCCGCCATTCAGGTTGCAGACTCAGGTCCGACTGGGTTCCACTTGGTCGTCGCCATTCTGGGCGCAGATTTGGTTCCTCAGGCAGTGGCGGAATTCCTCTTCCGGTGTAACCGCTTGGTTTCCCTTGGTCATCGCCGCCACCGCCACCGCCACCACCAGTTTCCATTAGTGGAATAGGTGACGGAGTGTGAGGGTTAGAGAAACGACAATAGATTATGGGTGCATGAATTGAAATGGAAGGAGATTATATAGGAATTGACTCCACTCACCAAAATGCCCCTTGGCTTTCCTTTTTTTCACCGACATTTCTTGCCTTCTACTTTTTTTAGTCTATATTTTTTCAAAAATTAGATTCAATGTTTTTTCTTTAAATATATATGAAATCAAACTATGTAAAATTATTTAAAAATCCGTAAGAGAAGTAAATACAGAGGAACATGTAACAAAGAAAGTGGAACATAAGTACTGTCAATATTACAATAACAAAGGTAAAGAAAAGCCTCAATAATGTGTAACCTTGTACAGTTCTACTCAGTTTTATTGTTACACTAATCAAATTAATTAATTTATTTTGTTTTCAATAATAAAATTTATTTAATACGGCTATTTTTTTCTACTATTTTATTATCCTTGTTAGAGTATAGTATATTTTCTCTTATTCATTTAATAATAACGTAACTTATTTTAAGTCATTGTAAAAAATGGAAAAATTTATTTGATAGTAAGTAGATATGACACATTTTATTTTCATTCTCACTATAAACACATAATATGAGAAAATAGATTATGCTTTCATCAAATCACCACTAAATACAATAACAATTTGTTGGCTTTTTCTATAAATTATCATGTTTATCAATTTTTTTCAACTAATTTATATTAAATAAAATTTAAATATATATATATATATACTAAATATATGTATTTATTATATTTATAAAAAATATATTAAACATATAATTATATAAATATATTTTTATGATATATAAAAAAATATTTTTATATTTGTTTAATATAATTATATAAATAAATGTTTAAAATATATAAATATATATATATATATTATATTTATTTACTAAACATCTTTTTTATTAAATAAATACTTAAATATTATATAAAAAATATATTATTATTATATATATATATATATATATATTTAATATATATATATATATTTATACATTTAATAAATAAATAAATATATATATATATATATATATATATATATATTTATAAAAGTATATATAAATATATTAAGCATATAATTATATAATATATTTTTATTATATATAAAAATATGTTTATATTTATTACATATATTATATTTAATAAAGTTATAATGTATATAACAAAATATAAATATGTATTTACATATTTATAAAAATATATAAAAATATATTAAAATATAATAAAAATATTTATATATTTTTATAAAAGAAATATTATTTTTACTTACTAAAATTGTTTTATGTTAAAAATATACTTAAATAATATATATATATATATATATATATATATATATATATAACTTATTTATGTTATTATGTATATAGAAAGATATAAATATATATTTATTAAATAATAAATATATTTGTATTTATTATATTTATAAAAATATAAATAAATATTTAAATATTATATATGTATATATATTAAATATATTTCTATTTACTATATTTATAAAAATATATTAATAATATAATTATATAAATATATTTTTATATTATATAAAAAAACATATTTATATTTATTTGATATAATTATATAAATAAAATTAAAATTAAATATATATATATATATATAATATTTATATATTTATTTTATATATATATATATATATTTATATTTAATAAATATTATTTAAAAAAAAAACTATTAACCATTCAGGTCAGAATTCGGCTCCATTTCATCGAAAGTGTGCTATTTGAGTTAATATTATGTATAGGATGCTCTATATGTATATTTATGTTAAAAAATTGTTATATACGAGAAAAAATCACATAGAAAATGGAAAAAATAATTGACACCCGTAGTTTGTTTTTTGTTTTATTAGGTTTGTAATCCTAGAATGAAACTAATTTTGATTTTAAAAATTAAAAAAAAAATAGTTTCTTAAATTTGAAAAAATATAACTTGAATCCTTAAACAGTAAATCTAAGAAATTTCAATGATTTTTCTTAAACCATTTGTTATTTCTAATCAGTAAATTAAAATGTTTCAATCAATATTTAAAAAATATATATATATTTTTTAAAAATTGAGAAAGCAAAACTAGATCTACTACAAATTTATAGATTAATAAACATAATCAAGCCTTTATTTTTTGTAATGCAAATCACAAAGATTTCTAACCTATATTTATCTACGTGACTAACTCTAAGTGTCGATCTGAATAAACCTTTTGCACCAGAAACTCCAGAATTCACTCCACCACGAGCTTCATTCCTTAACCTAGGTGCAAAGTCTCCCTCCTACACTGTTATGAGTGAGTTCCATTTTTTATTAAATTTTGGCTGAGATCGGGAAGAATGTTACTCTTTCTAAGCCTTTTTACATACATGATTTTATTAATATGAAACTTGAAAGTAAAGCATGGCTCAATGAATGAGTGAAAAACTGAACTATAGGGAATTCATTATTAAAAAATAATGCAGAAAATCATTCCTTTTTATTCATTTTTGAAAAAGGTTTAAATATAAGTTGTTAAAAGTCCCACATCGCCTACCTCAGCTTATTTTATATGGTTTAAATGTTGGCAAATTTTGGGTCATGTATATATATGATACATAATTTAAATGTGTTAGAGTCATTATTTATTAAGCCAAATAATAAAAGTGATATGAATAAATTAAAGTTTTGGCTAAAGGCATATGTCATGAAAATAAAATTGTGTAGAGACCATAGAGTAATTTCTAATTTAATTAGGGGCCAAATTGAAAATACTAAAACTTAAGTAATTATCCTAATTCTGGTTATTTAAGGGGTCATGGTCCCCTTCTGGGAGCACACACACAGAACGTAAGTTTCAGTCCCGTTCCTTTCTTTCTATCCCCATCAAGAGAGAAAATCCAGAGGGAAATACAGGTGCTCTCCAGGAGGAAGACCATAAGATCAATAGTGCTCTAAAAAGGACATCATCATTATGACAAATTCAGGTACGCTTTCGCATTCAGTTTACAATATGTTTACAGTATGGGATTACTTTATACTTGATCGTTAGATTAAAGATCATATTTAATTACAATTTATCTAACAATTGGTATCAGAGCCGCCCATACTTGATTCATGTTTTTCTTAAAAAATATTTAAGAATTGAGATTAATTTAAGAACCCTTAATCCCTAATTAAAAAAAAACCCTAAAATTGAGAATCCTAGGGTTTCTTAAAACCCAATTCTCTATTCCGCGTGTGCCATTATCCGGAGACGGTGTAACTGTTGGCTCAACACGCGGAATTGGAGAAGGCCGCGTGACGTGCCTCCAGTGTCGTTGGGAAAGAGAGTTGCTGGGTTTAAAGGCATGGTGATGGGTTATCGTATGGCCTGTTGCACGTGATGATTATGACTAATTCAGATTCTAACTGATTCAGAACCCTAATGACACCACCCTTCACTCTCTCCCTCTCCCTATTCACCGTTTTCTCTATAACCGCCGTGCATGGGCTGGGCTCGGCCGCTACCATCGCTGCGACGTACGGCACTGCCATCATGTGCGACATCGTTGCCGGGGAGCCCCAACACCATATCCTGTGCTCCCAGGACGGCAGACGCGTCTCCCTCACGCTCCCCAACGTCTCCTTCGAGGTCGTCTCTGGAGGTCGGAGCTTCTTTTGCGGCCTGCGCTCCGGCGGCCGGAGCCTCCACTGCTGGGACACCGCCACCGCAGACGGTCTGCACGAGGGAGGTGCCATCCGGTGTGGTGAGATGCTGGAGAGGAAACGGTGGGATCGAGTTTGTACCTCCCTCAAAGAGGTTAAGGTTTAAGAGTGTCACATGTGGTCGTGATTTTTCGTGTGGGATATTGAGAGAGAGTGGGAGGGTTGTGTATTGGTGTGGTGGTGGTGACAACGAGGGTGCATATATCAGTGGTGAGATTCAAAGGAAGTTTGAGAATTTTACTATGTCGAGTTTTGTTGTTGGGGTGTCTCATGCGTGTGGTTTGACTCTTCGTGGGGTTTTGGTTTGTGGAGGGAACAATGGTTCGGGTCAACTTGGAAACAGTGTTTTTTTTTTTTTTTAAGTTCATTGCAGTTTTCAAGTCTTGCTTTGGGAGAGGATTTCACGTGTGGCATTAGGCAGAGGAATGGGGTTGTTGTGTGTTTGGGTGATGGTTTTGATAGTGATGTGGTGAAGGGTGTTCCTTTTGAGTCTATCGTTGCTGGTTTGGATTATGTTTGCGGGTTGACAACTAGGAATTTGTCTCTGGTTTGTTGGGGGGTTATTTGTTTAGCTCCTCATTTGATAAAATTGTCCGTGTATGGTCCTTTCAGGACTTTTCTCATTTACACACATTTAGAGGACACGAGAATAAAATCATGGCTTCAGTTTATATAGATGCAGAAGAACCATTGTGCATAAGTGGCGACAATGGAGGGGGCATATTTATTTGGGAAATCGCTGCCCCTTTTAGGCAAGATCCCTTGAGGAAATGGAGTGAGAAGAAGGATTGGCGCTTTAGTGGTATCCACTCCTTGACTATTTCCAAAAAAATTGTTCTCTTTACACTGGAAGTGGAGATAGAGCAATTAAAGCTTGGTCATTAAAGGATGAAACTTTGATATGCACAATGACTGGCCATAAATATGTAGTTTCCACGCTAGTTGTTTGTGATGAGGTTCTTTACAGTGGTAGTTGGGATGGTACGGTTCGATTGAGAGTCTAAATGACCACAGTCCATTCGGGGACCCATTTGCATAGATAAATGAATAAATATATAAATTTGGTGTTGTTATATAAATAAAATATTACCTTTTTGGCAGTTTAATATTTTTGTGAACAAATTGAGTCAAGAAGTTACCAAAGTAACATTTCTTGAATTGGGTAGTTCGTAAAAATATTGAATGTTAGTGTTTGTGTATATTCATGCGAGTATTAGTCGGCCCAAAAGAAGATTAATATTTGGCCGAATTACATACACACCTGTAATGATAAACATGTGATAATTATAAGGATTTGCTTTGTCGATGATAAATCAATCCAAAGATTGGTTTATTGTTGGACGTGCTTTATTGTCAATGTTTGATTATTACAACAAGATATCTCTAGCAGTTAATATTACTCGTCCAAAGACTTGATATTGATGGTGCATTGGGTGTCTTGAGATGAGTTAAACCATTATTTGAATATATATATTTTATTTATAATTATTTAATTTTATAATTAAGCATAATTAATTTATTTCTTTTGTTCTTAATTCAGCTACAATTGCTTCGTATCTGCCAATTTAAATTCTGTTCCGGTCCTCAATAAAACAAATTTTAAGGACTGGAAAGAGAACATTGATATTATTCTTGGTTGCATGGATATGGATCTTGCGTTAAGGACTGAGCAACCCCCTGTTCCTACGGATGTACCTCTGAACTGAAAAGAGATTATGAGAAGTGGGATCGCTCAAATCGCATGAGTCTAATGATCATTAAGCGCGACATTCCAGAGGTGTTTAGGGGCACTATTTCTGAAAACATCACAAGTGCCAAAGAGTTCCTTGCTGAAATTGAGCAGCGCTTTGCAAAAAGTGATAAGGCGGAGGCAAGCACTCTTCTTCAGAACTTGATCTCCATGAAATATCAGGGCAAAGGAAATATCAGGGAGTACATTATGAGCATGTCTAATATTGTTTTTAAACTCAAGGCATAGTTCGAACTCTCAGAAGACTTGCTCATTCATTTGGTGTTGATTTCTCTTCCCGGAACGTTTAATCAGTTTACAGTATCTTACAACTGTCAGAAGGATAAATGGTCTCTTAATGAGCTCATACAAGAAGAAGAAAGGCTAAAGCAAGACAAGACAGAAAGTGCTCATTTTGCAAGCACCTCTAAGGCTAAAGGCAAAAGAAAGAGATTGGAGGATCCTAAGAAGGAAGTTGCTAAAGATCCAGAACAAAAGAAACAAACTCAAGAAAACAAATGTTTCTTTTGCAATAAGACTGGACATGTAAAGAAGCAATGTGCTAAATATCATGCTTGGCGTGAAAAGAAAGGGTTGCCTAAATTACCGGAAGCCAACTGATTCTGAAAGATGGATATATGTTGAAAACGACAAATCGGTGGAGATGGAGACTATTGAACATTTTAGATTATTATTGTGTACTAATTTTTTATTTTAGATTTAAAAGATGTTTTTGTCGTGCCTTCTTTTAGACGAAATTTGGTTTCAGTTTCTTATTTGGAAAAATTAGGTTATTTGTGTTTATTTGGAAACAATGAGTTCAGTTTGTCTTTTAATTCAGATATTGATAGAATTTGTTCACTTTTAGCTCATGATAATCTATATTTACTTAATATTGTGGTCACCTATAATAAAACTCTTAATACAGAATCTCGTGGTATTAAACTAAAATTGGACTCACTGTTATGTTCTTTGAGGATATTGAGTTTGGGGGGAAGAATAAGATTAAAAATTTTGTATTGGAGGAAGAATCGATAATAAATTAAGAACCGATTCAAACAGTTACTTTTGATAAAATAAGTTCGGAACTTCCACAAGACATTGATGATAAACCCCATATTTAAGATGATTTGATTGTTCGTCAAGACTAAACTCAAGATCCTCAAGAACATGTGCGTCACGAGCCGGGGATACTCCAGTTACTAAGGGAGACAAGTTTAGTCTAAATTACTGCCCAAAGAGGAATTTGGAAATTAAGGAAATGCAACAGATTCCCCATGCATTAGCTATCGGGAGTTTGATGTATTCCCAAATATGTACGCGTCCAGACATAACATACATAGTTGGGGTTCTAGGCAGATATTTAAGCAATTCAGGAATAGACCATTGGAAAGCAGCAAAAAGGGTCATAAGATATTTAAAGAGAACAAAAGATTATATGCTCACATACAGGAGGTCAGACCAGTTGGAGATCGCTGGGTTTTCTGACTCAGATTTTGCAGGATGTCAATAATTTGTAGCATGCTATGAGGCATAAAATCATGGAATATGGCTGAGAAATTTTTTCACAGGGCTGCAAATTGTGAAAGGCATTGAAAGACCACTTAAGTTATATTGTGACAATAAATCAGCTGTATTGTCAAGAAAAGAGTACAAAGTAGACAGATTTCCATAGAACACTTAAGGACAAACTTCATGATAGCATATCCTCTAACTAAAGGACTTCTGCCCAAGGTCTTTCATGAGCATGTTGCTCACATGGGTGTTTTACAGTTTGAGGAATTTGTGGTTTAGTGGGAGTTAGTCACTTTCATATATTTTATGTTCTATGTTTAATTTCATATATGTATACATTGATTTTTTGGACATATTTGGTTATCTATAGATATGCAGTTTTTTCGTTCATTCATTATACTTTGTACATTAAGGATATTATATCGATCTCGATAAGTTAAAGTTTGGACCAGTTGAAAATAGACGTGTACAGATCACCTTCACGTAATTTTCATGCTACACATTTCATGATGAATCCATGTCATTTGATTATGTTAGGATGAGTAATCATTGTTGGTTTTAATTGCGATGATGCAATGAAAAGCTGGTTTGGTTCTATATCCTGATATGATTAATGGACAGGACTTTTGGAGTATGCTAAAGGAATATAATGACAATTTTGAGCTCATAAAGCCTAACACATTTGTAAGGTTGTAAGGACATATATATTTGTGACCAGTGGGAGATTGTTGGCAAATTTTGGGTCATGTATATATATGATACATAATTTAAATGTGTTAGAGTCATTATTTATTAAGCGAAATAATAAAGTGATATGAATAAATTAAAGTTTTGGCTAAAGGCATATGTCATGAAAATAAAATTGTGTAGAGACCATAGAGTAATTTCTAATTTGATGAGGGACCAAATTGGAAATACTAAAACTTAAGTAATTAACCTAATTCTGGTTATTTAAGGGGTCATGGTCCCCTTCTGGGAGCACACACAGAACGTAAGTTTCAGTCCCGTTCCTTTCTTTCTATCCCCATCAAGAGAGAAAATCCAGAGGGAAATACAGGTCCTCTCCAAGAGGAAGACCATAAGATCAATAGTGCTCTAAAAAGGACATCATCATTATGGCAAATTCAGGTACGCTTTCGCATTCAGTTTACAGCATGTTTACAGTATGAGATTACTTTATACTTGATCGTTAGATTAAAGATCATATTTAATTACAGTTTACCTAACATTAAATACATGTTAGACTACTTCATCTATTATCAACCTTAACATAAGTTACAATTGAAAGTGATCCTAGCAAAGATCTCAGTGATTTGATGAAGTCAAAGATAAAGTCAAAGGTCAACTCTGCAACAGTCAAACAAGTCACTCAGAAGAATGGAGCTGAAGACTTAGTGTGTCTTAACAGAAAGCTTAGGTAAAACCACTTTACCTTTTCCACTGCATAAAGCTTCTTCACTCATTTTTGCAAAATGCCTCAAAAATAGTTTTAAACAAATCAAACAAAAGCATTTTGACAAAGAACCTTCTTAACAATGGTTTTAACTGATATAGTTTTTTAAAGAAACGTTTAAAACACTTAGAATGTTTTTAGAAGTGTTTTCACAAGCATTTTAATTGATACAAAAACCTTTTAATCGATTAAAAACCCTTTATGACCGATTGGAATTCGAATATAACAGGTCAGAATGAAATATAATCGATCAGATTTTAAATATGAGCGATCAGATTGCTTTTAATCGATTAAAACACGTTTCAATCGATTAAAACCACTTTGGAAGTCAGGATGATCGATCAGAATGAAATTATGACCGATCAGAGTTGGTTATGATCGATCAAAATTGAATTATGACCGATCAGACTTATTTCAATCGATTAAAACGTATTTCAATCGATTAAAATAACTTAGAAAATCTTTTCAATCGATTAAAACGAACTTTCAATCGATTAAAATGACTTGAAATTATATGTGCAGTTTTTCAATCGATTGAAACGACTTTATATCAGCTAAAATAACTTGGAAAGTTTTATAAGAAGGTTTTTAAACAAATCAATCGATTAATACGCGATTCAATCGATTTTTTTATACTTTGAAAATGTTTGTAAAACGTTTTAACTGATAAAAACGTGGTCGTATCAACTAAAACATTTTCTGTTAAAGATCAAGAACGCATTAATGGGTTGAAAGGACTTTTAACAGATTATAACGGCTATTTCAACAGATTAAAACAAACTTTCAACAGATTAATTAATGCAGCAGATTTGAAAATACTCTTTTATAAACAGAATTGCTTGGAACTTTTATAATATCAGTTTTTACACAATTCAAGCAATCAATACAAACAACTATTAGCATTTTTCAAGAAAGATACACAACTGTTTTTGTGAACTTCTTTTGAAATCTTTCTTGAGGCACTTTGCATTTCTTTGAAGAAGAAACTGATCGTGGATTGGTGTAATCCGGTTTGAGCTTTCTTTGTTTCTTCTTTTAAATTTCTATTCATTCATTTGTACTTGTTTTGTACCCGGAATTTGGGTACAAGTTTTCTGCAGCTTGTTGTAGAAAGTTGCCAAGAACTGGAATTTGGTTTTTGGTGGAAAGGTTAAAGCGAGGAGCTGGAATTTGGTTCTTGTGTGTGGT